CACAAATAGTCTGCATGGAAGCCACAATATATCCCCTATAGTAATGTTACTGGGATTCAAGAAATGGCTTTGAGTTACGCTGCGGCCAGACACAGGTCTCATGGCGCTAGTTACGTTTTGAATTTTGACACGTCCAACATCGGCACGTTCATTGGTTGAAGAGGAAGTTTTTGACAAGCGAAGCATGAAGTGTCAGTATTGACAAGTGATAATTTTTTGATCTACGAAAACAATTAGGCATTCCAACGACCTGTCCAAATGGCTACCAGTGGGTAATGACAGTTTAGATATGGCAACCCTGTTGTCATGTTGTCATTGACAGGGTCAATGATGCATATATAGTTATATAGATTGCTCAAAGCTGGTCGTTTACGAGCGGCCATATTGCCTAGCAAATATTTATTAATTTGAATCGGTTTAGCAAAAATGTGTTTTAAAACCAATTTTTAGCCTTTAGATATTTAAAAAAAAATAATTGCTTACATTTTTACTTCAAGGCATAAGCTTATGTTTATTTTGAAAAATATGGATGATCAATCTATGTAACTATCTATTTCATTGACCTTGTCAAATCACCAGGCCTACAGGGTTGCCATAATTTTGCCATATCATAACCCGTCAGAACCCACTGGTAGCCATTAAGTTTGGAATGCCTAATATTAATTTTGTTTCAGCGATATTTATTGTGATTTGTGTTGTTGTATTAAGTGCTTACTTATTTAATATGGGAAACAAAACGTACAACAAACTCAGAAAAAGAGGAATCAAGGAGGGATTGCTATGGCTGTCATCCAAGGGTCTCCGCCCTAGATAATACTTTTTTAGTGGGAAACGCCTTTAAAATTCAAGTATAACAATTTTGTTTCCGTTTTCCCTTCTTTTAATGTAGGTGCCAATTTTGAGGTAAATTTGTAATAATTTTTCATATTTTTTCAGTTAATACCTACCCTCTTAATATTATAATTTAACTAAGATCTTATGCTTTCCTATGGACACGATTCAAGAAGGGAGTCCTATGGCTGTCATCTAAGCCCTAGATAATAGTTTTCCAGTGGCAACAGCCTTTAAAATTCAAGTATAATAATTTACTGTTTCAGTTTTTCTCCTTTTTTCGAAGTAGGTGTCTATTTAAACTAATTTTTTTTTATTTCACCTATTGATTTTAGGATTTATATACAGTATCGGCTAATGAACACTTTCCAATATGCTTGGCTAGCATCGAAAAGAAAACTAAAGTTAGCGCATTAGTTCGATCAGGAAACGAATAATATGAATGTTGCCTTGTGTGCTGTGTAATATGAACAGGCACACGGCAAAGTATATTAACCGTTGAGTAGCGACAGCTGGGGAACCGAATTCTAGTGTGCCGACGCGAAATAGAGAGGCGAGACGTCTTCTAAAGATGTAAACAACCCTCTTCACTTTAGTCCGGCAGCTGATATAGGAATTCGTTGTTGTGGATTTATTGTTTGTATTGATTCTTGTTTTAATCTGACAGGTTAAAACGACTAAACTGACAATTCCGGAAGCAGAAGCGGATGATTAAAACGCACCTGATATTTTGCTTGCTGCTGTCAGTGAATATTATTTTTGAAGTCACAGTTTATTGCTAAAGAATCAGTTAGCTCACTCGGACCAGTTGAAAGTTCCAAAATAACATCCACTCCAGGGATACAAATTCAGGATTCGCAGAAGACTGCTGTTTTATTATAGGCGGTTGTTATATATTGTATTATCCGAGTTGCGCAGTGTATAAACTGGAACATTGAGATTAAAAGTGCCGACGCAGAGTGAGCGATCTGATTCTTTAGCTGTAAACTGTGTCACAGGGATCAAAATGGCTGCGCCCTATGTTGGTCGTGTCGGACCTCTCTCTTGCCTCGTATAGTAAACAAAGTATGTGGATGCACTACTATAGGGGATATATTGTGATGGAAGCGCTCACTGGCGTAACGAGAAAGTTCTGTAATTGCCAGTGGCGTACTAAATTGTTTTTTAAATTCAAATATATGTTTATGGTTTTTTCAACAAGTTCTTTTTAGCTTTTTTGCCCTTAACTTCGTGACCTGTTCCTACATGAAATAAGGAAACATTAGAAATCTTTCGTAGAATACATAAAACCTAAAAATGTAGAATACACGTCTGTATACGAGAAAGATAATAATAATAAATCGGGCGTATTCCTCATCTTAAAACCAATATTAAAAGTAAAAATATAAATTCATTATCGAGGATGGCATGAAAACTGCAAACCTCGAAAATAGTATCAAACTTCTGCTCTCAACATACTTTCCTGACTCGGTAATCAAAGACGTGGGCGACTAGGTAGATGAAGAATACAATCCATCTGTCTACGATTGGCAAACTGCCAAACATTATAGACGAAGACAAAATTAGCTGAGCAACATGTAGCTTCTCTCCAGCCCAGCTTCAGTGGGGTCTAGAAGACATCACCTGGTAGATATATTCAAATCCTCGTTGGCTGTGAGGTATATCTCTAAAAAATGGTGAGAGGTAAAAGTGACCTTCATACCAAAAACCTCGGAGGATGGCTTACACTGTCTTAAAAACGTACGGGCCATTAAAAAGGCTATGCGAAAGATACATAAGGGACGTGGTGATTACAACACCACTATGCCCAAATCAATATGCATACGCCCAGGCAGATCTATTGATTCAGCCCTTCACCTAGTTTCTTGTTGGGCAGAGAGATCTCTGGAGAATAGAAAGTCTGCCTTTGGTGTTTTCATAGCTCTAGAAGGTGCTTTCGACAAGACCACCTTCTCTAAGAAATGTTAAATAAGTAATCTAAATCGGTATTAATTTTGTGTTGAGAGGTTACTGAAGCATTATGTGAAAAGGCCAAATAAATTCGCCTGGCATCTGCGTAATAGGGTATCTATCAATTTTTAAAAATCATTGACATATACGCAAAATAGTAAAGGTCCGATGATGGAACCTTGAGGCACTTAATATTTGTTAGGCAAAGCTTTCTATGCCTTATCATTTAATTTTACTCTTTGGATTAGATTTAAATATGATATTTCTAGCAGATCAAATGGATTGTTACTGAAACCAAAAAGAAAAACTAATTTTTAATCTAAAACCATGATCAAGAGTATCGAAAGCTTTACTGTAGTTATTTTGATAAACAGATTCAATGACATCATCTATAATTGTCAAGAGTGTAGTTGCAGTACAATGCTAGGCACGAAACTGTAAATGCTCGGATGTTATAATGCCAGAAACTTTTATTCAATTTTAGTGCCATTTCAATAACTTTAGGTACAAGCTAATTGGTCTTAAATCTGAGAATGATGTGGGCGAATTTTTGAATTGGCTTTCCAGCAAAAAAAAATGTATAAGAAGAAATAATAAAATTATTAATGAGAATTGTAATGTGATCTAGCAGGAGGTCAATGGTTCATTTTGATAGATATATCGTCAGATCCCACACCATCACTTTTGACATAATAAATATACAGGGTGTCCCGAAATTAGCGGTCATGTTTTAACAACCTAATCTACATTCTAAAATAAGATCAAAAGTTCATATAAACGTAGGTCCAAAAACGTTTCGTTTCCGAGATACAGTGTATTAAAAGTAAATTACTGATGATACATTTTTGTAAATATTTACTAAACGTTTAAAGATACCTAAGTGAAATTTGGTACAAATGCTAAACTTTTTACGTTCTATTTAATGGACTAAACGCCAGTTTATGATCATCTTCATAGGTGTGTAAATTAGGGGAGGTGCTTAGGGTTAAATTGTCCTAAGTTTTTTTGTTCACAGTATTTAACGTTTTCGACTACAAAATTTGGAAAACCAATATTTTCTTTATAATAACGCAACTTTTGTTACATCTCCTAGGATACACGATTTTCAAGAGAAAAGCATTTGAAAATTTCATGATAAGTTGATGTAAATAATAAAAAGTAGACCTGTGGAATCATAAATTTTATTTGTTTTTCACATTCAGAAAACCAGTGACTAAAGAAATTCTAGAAAATATTTACAAAAAATGTGCCATTAGGACTTCACTTGTAACACCCTGTATCTCGGAAATGAAACGTTTTTCGACCTATATTTATATGAACTTTCACTAATATTTTAAGATGTAGATTACGCTGTTAAAATATAAACGTCTAATTTCGGGACACCCTATATATCTGATGGAAGTAAGAAGAGAAAAATATAAATCTGGAAGGCTAGGCTGGTATTTATCAAAAGGTTGAGCATTAGATTAGAGTGAATGTGTGTACTGATAGATTTCATTAAGATCATTTAGTATAGCTGGTATAGAGGGTGTGACTTTTCTTAAGTTATTTAGATTTACTAATGAATTTCACATTGATTTTGGGTTTTCCCAAGATAACAAAGTCGAGATATGCCCTTTTTTCCCACCGAATTGCACCTGTGATGTAGTATAGAAGAGTAATTAGCCCAATTCGGAGCAGTACGTGTATTTATTAAATGATTTACCTCTATATCATATATTTATTATTGTAAGTAAGCCAGGGAGTTTTTTATTCTTTTAGTAACTATGGGCGCATGCGCTAG